TAGGTGCTGGGCCTTGATTAAGTAGTGAGTCCCTGCTGTTCTGAAGAAAGCTGCAGGTGGCGCTACATACCTGGATGGGCGCAGAATTGTGGCTCCTGGAAGACTTTGAGGGGAGTTTGTGTGGGATTTGGGTAGAAGGTACCTGAGGCTGGTTACTCCCCACTGGCAGGGGCGATAACAGGGGCAAACAGCTGCCCTGGTGTTCAGGCCTGAGCCCACCTGGGTGTGCAACACAGGGTCCCTCAGAGTAGCTCTCTCACCAGCTCAGCATGTGGTGCTCCCACTCCTCACCTAGCTTCTCTGAGGTCCTCTTCTTTTCCATCCTTCTCTGAGCCCCCAAGACAGGCAGGGCCCCTGTGGCCACATCACTCAGGAAGTGGAAGCAGAGGCTCAGAGATAGTCCAATGTCACCAAGTGAGCAGGTGGTGGAGCAAAGCTCGGAGAGTGCCTTCTCCACTGGACCTTGTATTGTCCATCCACAGCTTAGACCCAGGCCTGGCAGAGTTCCACCAAGTTGCTGAAAAGGGGAGCAGCTTGCTCAGCTCACTGGTGCCTTGGGGAGACCCCATTCTCCTGACACCCCAGTGTCCAGTGAAGAGGGGAGGGTTCCGATTTTTGCACCCATTGCGGAGTGTCCACTGGGAAGCAGAAATGAGCACCACGAAGATTGGGGCACTAGAGTGGTGGAGTGGTTATGGAGGTGACAGCTGGCAGCCATGGCTATGGCGACTTGTGATGGGTGACTCAGGGCAGTGGGGTGCTGATGGTGTAAGGTGAACATGAGGACCTGCAGCCACCCCACCACCACCAGGGGTAGACGGCTGTTCCCCATTTCTACCTGTCTGCTGTATGCAGTAGGATTACCATTTATTAAAAGAACGCATGGGAGTGGGACTAGTTTGGGGTCACAGGTAACAAGGCCACTTGGGATGGAATGAATTGTGGCATGTCAGCGGACCTCCTGGTGTTCTAACAGGGGTAGTCCCAGGCACTGAGGTGAAGTCACATAGAAGGACAAAAGTGTTTGGGGAAATATGTAGTTTGGGGGAGAGACACAAGGAATGGAGATCAGCAGGGGAGGAAGGGAGAAAGCTTGGAGGACTGGGGAGCAGATCCCTGTGGAATCACACTGGGTTCCTGGTGGGCTGGCCCTGTGTCTTTCATATAGGGCTCCCCAAAGGAAAGTGGCACCACAGCCTTGGCCAGCAGGAAAGGCCTGGATTGCTCCAACCTCCCTGCATGTGACTGCAAGGTTACACACAGACACACAGACACACAGACACACAGACACAAGACACACACACACACACACACAACACACACACTCACACACAGACCCCAACAACAAGCTTCCACACGTGACTCCAAGTTCCCACAGTGTGACTCCAAGGTTCACACACGTGAATGATGCTGCAATAAACATGAGTGCACAAGTGTCTTTTTTATATCTTGCCTTCCATTAGTTGAAAGCATTTAGAATGTCTCCCCCGTATGAATTTTCCACTTATTATAGATTGTTCATTAGAAGAATACAAACAGTATGGGGAAAGACACAGACAGTAATTCTAACAGACACAGAGTTAGGAGGAATGCGTTCACATTCGTTGAAAGCTCTTTGAGGATGGGGCATCTTTCCCTATGAACAGATTCTGGCGTTTTTGCCACTTATTCCAAATTGCTTATTATTGGACAAAAGCAGTGTTGCAAGAAAACATGTAAAAGGAGTTCCAATGCCTTAGTGATAAGTTGAGAAGGTGGCACTTCTTCCATTCTAGATAGCATTGCTTTTTTTCCCCTTTATTGTTGTGCTGGCTGGGGTACATTGTGGCATCTGCAAACGTTGTTCCAGTGTATCAACTATATTCACATTTGAAT